TAAAATAAATTCGGTCGCGGAAGTATACATAATAATACTCGAATACCGTAGTTGGCCATCTTTACTCCTTGTTTCAATAAACAGGATTCAAAAAGTGAAAGTGTCCTTACGTGTCTTGAATCTTAATCGCTTCTTACCAGATGTCCCTTTCAAGGTGACAGGACAGCATTACTGAACTCGAATCTTGAAGTTAAAAATATACGATTTTGAACGTTGAACTCACTACCTGTATTCTTTATTACTTTTTTATAAATTTATACTTTTTTCTATGTAATAATTAATGACTACGTTAACAGTTTCCTAAAACTTCAGTTCAGCTATGTATGTAAACGAAATAGTGAAATTGTACCTCCATTTCTTTGTGGCAAAACGTATTGTTGTGCAAATTAGTTATTTTCTCAGGAGCGCTTCCTTACTTTCATTGTCTATATTTATGCCTTCACTTACTTTGGCCGTGACTAAGCAAATTGTATGTTTCGTTTTCATTAAATTTGAACGTACCACAAAAAGTTCGTATATTAACCTCACATATGTATGTGGTCATCACAAAAAAAACTTTTTTACATGGCTAGAACGAAACTGGAAGAAACTTTCCTAACAAAATAAAGTTTTTTATGCAAAAGCATTTTTTCTAAATCTGTTTGTAAATAAACACTTTTATAACCGACTAGCTGTTTAGGCGATGAGTGATGACTAAGCAATATTGCTGGACTACAGCGAAGACCCAAGTAATGCCAACTGTTGGGTAAATGATCTTTGAATGGGAATATAAGGCTAAGCCTACATAACAATAAATCTCGCTTACTGGCAAGCTTCGACACTTCTCTAGATTTTCGCACCAACAATATAGCTTTGGCTTATAGTGATTAACGAAATTCAAAATGGCCTTGGCCTATCGGAAAGCTAATTATAGGTTTTACATAATACATTTTATTTTATATTAGCGATAGCTTTGTGTTCGGGTGTAGCTTTACTCTGCATCTTCTATCGCATTAATCATGGGCAGTGTTCGGAGAAATTGTTCGGATCAATTCCACCCAGCTGCTGCTTTTTGCCATCGTACATAACAACAAAAATTTCATCCCCATCATCTTGACTGCGTGACTTTCCACAATCGTGCGATTTTGTCGAATTTTACGAACGTAAAATTTTACAGTTTTGTCAACTGTGGACTACTTTGTCGCCAGCAGTGTTTCCGGAACAATACGACCCGAAATCCTTCAAAAAAGGGTCTCCTTCTGACTGACTCCTTCTAAAGGCCGCCATTGCATTTGTGATACTCCTGGTGTTGCAGGTGTTTATGGGTGACGATGATCACTTATCATCTGTTGAGCCGTCAATTCGTATGCCCCCTTTAATATAAAAAATATAATTATCTTTCGTTTTAAGTTTCGCAGTTTTCTACTCCCCTTTTTTGTTTATATAGGGTGTATTTTACAAGTTTTAGAAAACGATCTCACGTTATTTACTAATGTTTATGGAGTCCATAGAAAGTGGATATTTTAAATTCTGTTGTGTAATTCAGTAAAAAAACTAATTAAAAAAAAATTCAAATTGGAGGCAATTTGAATTTTTTTTTTTTTTCAAACGTTTTCGAGGGAAAACGTTTCTCTGGACACCCGACTGTCATTAAAACGTCAAACGATACAATGTAATGTCACTTGAGCGAGAAGTTTACTAGCGTGTGACGTCATTTTAGTCTTGGCTAACCCCAAGCGTTTTCGGTCACGTGACCATGAAGCAAATTTTTTTTATCTATTTTAATGATTTTATAGAAAAGTAATTATTTATTTGTTCTTTCAGAAAAGTAAAATCACTGCTAATATTCATATTAAATACAAATGCCAACAATTGGTACAGTATTTTTCATACTGTCAAATTGCCTATTGAAGATACAAGCGAACCTCAAATTTCCAACAAAACCTTCAAAGTTTTCCACCGACAATGCAAATTGAATGATACGCTTTATTAAAGTATTCAAAGCAACCTACCGTAAAATCGGGTACAGTGGCGCAATTTGGGAAATACCACGTGGTTGCTAGAAAGCAGTCGGTTGCAATACGCAGGTGATAAGCTGCTCAAGATAACGAATAGTTTACGAAAGACTTTGTTAATTATTAATTAGCCTATAGATTACTTACAAGGTCATAGTAAATGACTTGCTACTTTGGAACGATAATTGCTGGAACTTATTGTTTCCATACCATCCCATCACTGGAGTAAGGTTTGTATTGTTGTTGCTAAAAATGAGGCACAAATAGGTATTTTTTTATACCCCTCGTAAGCGTAAGTGTGAGTCAGTTCAAGTTACAAAGATAGCTTATGTAGGGTTAAAACGCACTACTCTTATCACCCCCACTTTCTTTCTAAATCAAAATTTCCTTCCTCGTGGAGTTCCGGAAACCTTATTGCTTGAATAAGCACACTACAAAGTTATTTTCTGTGTAGTGGACTTACTTCCGCTAAATCCACCTCCCATAAAAAACAAAGTACAAAAGGTCGATAAGGCAAACCATATAATTAATCCCGCGATCGCATACGCAACACGACCCACCCACCTCCGTACAATGTCAATGACATAAGCCTAGAAAGCAGCCCGCGTATATACATCATACATAACTCATAAGAGATCAAATAAAAACGAAAGCATTGCGGTCACCGGTAAGCAGGCTGTTCGATCGCAACGAACTTCCTCATCAAACAACATTCATATATGGTAGGCGCGCATAAACAACCTATTCAAATGTCTCACATAAACTACCCGGTAGTTTACTACCACTAGGGTTGCCAAAACTCATACTCGGACAGACCAGCCAGTTTGGCCGGACATTCGGGTAAAAAGGCCGTTCATCCTACATTATTGATGTGTTTGTGACTCAGTAATATTAGGTATGGCAAAAAAATATGTAAAAGTGGCCTAGAGTCAAAGAGTCGAGTAAAAGTGGAAAAATAGAGATGAATTTGCTGCAGGCGAAAATATGACGAGGCGCGTCGCTTCGACTCTGCGCCAGTGTGAGTCTAGCCTTACACAGTATCATACTTGAACATAGCAGCAGATTTATAGAATCACGCTGGAATAACTTATATGAATACAAGCTATAAGCTTTCGGATTTGCATCAAAATTTAATTATTTTTGTGTATGTATGACCTACAAATTATATGCAGTCGGAATATCATAAAACTGGTTAGTTACGTGAATGGCTGGCTGGCTAGTAACATAAAAATACTTAAATGTAATAAAACGTGCAAAAACCTGTTTTTGACCCGATTTAATTCTATTTATTCAAATTATTCTGCCATCAGAATATTGATATATCTGCGAATTTATTTTTTAAATAATCCAAGCGTATATCACAGTGACGTTTAACGAACGAATGCGACTTAAATTACGATTCTTCTGTCCAGTCTAATTGTATGCTTTTGTGTTTTTTACCAAAAGTCATGAACACTAATTTAAAAAAAATATCATACTTTGTCGAAGACATACATCAATGGTTCTAAATAGTCTATACCAGCTTCCCCATAAAACTTTACACTGATCTTCCAATCTCCCTACAGATAATATTAATAGGTAAGGATACAGATAGCCTACTTCCAACTTTCCTATTGAACATTCGTTACTCCAGCACGCAAAAACTTTGTACGGATTTTGAACGGATTTGTATGAAATTTGGTACGCTCATAGTTTTGTGAGACTAAGGATACTTTTTATACAGGAAAAGTGTTAGATTCCTGTGGGATTCTCATAAATTTTAAGATAACATGGACGAAGTGGAAGAAATTCATATCTACAAAGTCAATTGGTCATTATTTACAAGTTTGTTAAGCAACAAACAAGTCTTTGTTTTGTCATCCTCACTTCTTCCAAGTATCGTCCGTCGTATAAAACCACATTCCAAACAAATACTCGTACATCAATTATGAGATGAGCACTTCCATTTAGCCATTTTAAACTTAAGATGGTTTATCAATCAAACGTTATAGGATAAATATTACAGTTTTGTTTCTTATATACCGCTTTAAAATAGTTTGACCTTTAGAGTATGCGAATTTGCGAAAATAACGGCATTTTTTTATATATATATATATTCGTCATAATTTTAGTCTAGCACACGGACCTCATTCTTAGATTATATAACAACTTAAAAACAAGTCAGATTCTTGAGTAATGTTTGTATTCTTTATTCTGTCTTTAAGTCCATTTAGCACTTGTTTGTGGGTTTATCCACGGTAATACTATAATGCAAAAGTTACTCTATTATTCCGTCTAACTGCATTTCTTTCTGTCTGTTACAGTTTCACACTCAAAACGCTGAATTAATATTGATGATTTTTTGCGCTTATAGAGATAAATATGACCTTGGAAAAGGACATAGGATACATATTTGTTTAAAAATAATTCTTTTAGGGATAAGGTAAGGGAATGAAATTATGTATATTTGTATATGAAACCAAATATATCACAGCTTGTTTTCGAGACAAATACACACAGAACCGTTTTACGTAATATACACACCTGAAAAAAACCTTAAAATTTTCAAGCAACATTTACGGAAACTGTATGTCTTATAAATTGTAATTTTCTTTTTCTTAGTAAAATATATTGGTGTATAATATTTTTTGCTCTCGGAAAATAAATCGGCTTATTTAAAAAAAGTAACTGTTTGATTGTATTTATAATTACAACAGTTCAAAACCGTACAAATGATGCTTAGATTTTTTATGTATTTATTTATTAGGCATCGTCGTATAGTAAGATGTACCACCTTAAAGTCTAACATAAATATGAAATATAAGACAAATACAAATTCTAAATAACACGTTTATTCGGCGACGTGTGGCGCGGTGATATCAGGCCTGCCTTTGAAACGCCGAAACTCAATACTTTTCGGCTCTATATATAATACAAGGCTCCTCTTTCAAAAAGGTTTTTTGAAGATTAAACTAACTTATTTAAAAAAAACTTTATTAACTTATGTATAAATTTTCTTTGTTACAGATTAAGACGGAGTCTGTTGCTTTTAACGGTCGTGTTGTCAGCCCGCGCACACGCACAGAAAAGCAAATCTGACGACAGCAACATACAAGCAGTGCCCAGCGATCTAAGGCGGGCAGTTAGCGAGGCACTAGCTCTAGAAAGGCGGTTCCTGAACGGTGCTAATGATGTGTGAGTATCTTTTCAATTCAGAGACGGATATAAAGAAACTCCCCCTTTTTGAAATTAGTTAAAAAAAGCGAGCTTTGAAGATACGATAGGGTTGTATTTATTCTGGGGTCAAGAGGCTGTAAGAGTCGCGAAGAGTTGCAGAAGCAATACACAGGCATTCGTTACTGACATAAATCTTGATTTGTTATGCTAATCCTAAAAAAGTGTCAGATTACATATCAGGGTTATACATCCCTGACTGTACCTCTCCTTTTTTATTGTAGTTGATTCATAACTCCCTTAAATCTTTCGTTATAATCTGGCAGCTTCCGAGTTAGACAAATCAAACTCTTCTCTGACATGTCTATCGTAACATGCTATGAGAAACCTGTCGTGATTACAAAAAAACATCTTCCGAAACTACCCTTTTCCCTGCCTTGATAAACTTTTACTATTCTACACATGTGGTGCTTTGTATGTTTTCCTTTCGCTGCAAGACTCTTATATAGTTTTAGTTCTCGGGCTTGTACTATACTGAAAAAGCTTACGAGCAAAAAATATTTCGACAGTGGAAATGCAGAATCGCTTACACGCCACAACATGCGGAAAGCTGTTTTATATTTCATTGAATTTGCATATGTAATGTTTTTCGGATTTAATTATCATTTGGATAGTATGCCTAGGTTTATTTCAAATGCCACATCTCACATTAAAATGGAATGTGCATTCCGCAACAACTAGTTAAAACAACTTGGGTTTGTCGCTAACCAGTATTATGCCTTTATATTTCAACTGTTGTAAAATGATCATAGATTTGGTATAGAATTTCAACAGCTTACAACCTCTGAAGTTAAATCTTTCATATAAATTTTGTTTTAAATAATATATATTGTTTAGACACCTTTGACTTATTATTTTAAAAAAGTCTTTGATTGAAAAAAGTCCTACCTCCTTATTCCAAAACTTAGACTAAAGTTAAACCTAGACTAAGATTTCTGCTGTCACTTTAGTTTGCTAAAAAGAGACAACATTAGGTTTAAAGCAAGACTAACTTTAACCGTGTTTTGGAATAAGGCGGATTGAAATTGTTTTAGACATAATCTCTCTCTCTGTAATTTCTGCTACGAACGTAGACTTAAAGCTTAGGCCACACACAAAGCAAAACTATAGGCCACCTCGATCGGTCCATACTGTCCAACGCTTCAATCGCTCTTCTCAACTTTACAATATAAGTGATATATTTGATAAGGGAAAAAAGTGATAAGATTTTCCCGGCCAGTATAGCTAATGCTGAACATGAGCACTCAATTTCAAATTTTCTCAAGTTCAAATTTTTGAACTAATATAAAGCACAATTTATTGAAGTGAAACTTTTATTACATTATCACACGTATTCGTTCATCTGTAGTATGTCCCATTATTAATTGTTATTGAAAAATATATATCATACCTTATCAATGAGCATTGGTGGTTCACTGTTTGAGAGCTCGCTTACTACGCTGGCGGCCCGGGTTCGATTCCCAGCCGAGGAAGGACTTTTTTATTACTGATTTTTTACAGTTTCACTTGCTGTGTAATTTCATAAAACCGTTGTTGTTTTTATTTTGTTATTATTTATGTTATTGCGATGACCAATAAAAACAATTCTTCCTTTTTTTTCTTCCCAATACATTTTTTCCATTCTGTTTCCTAAAGAGATTGACTGTCATATGATTTAACAATGAAGTCTCATCATAATCCAAACGCTAAATGCGACACTATTTTAATATTCAATCTGTAATTACAGCCAGAACTGCTCATCTGAGGAGGATGGCAGCAGCACCCCTTGCCCACCTAGCAAGTACCGGAGCCCGAGCGGCGAGTGCAACAACGTGCGCCACCGCCCCTGGGGACGACGGGGCGATGTCTTCTTGAGGCTAATGCCCCCAAACTATGCTGACAGTGAGTGTTTTCTTTTCTTTGAAATTAACTCTAATCATAATGGTGATGATTATGGGCTAAAGCTACACTCAAACACAAAAGACAACTCTCTAAAAAGCCTGAAAGAAGTTATTAATATTCAACAAATAGCCTGAGCGGCGACTGGGTCGGTGAGGCTCTTCTTGGCGCTCATGCCCCCAAAATATACTGTCAGTACATGGTTTACTTAACTCTAAAAATAACACTTAACATTATGGGCTCTCTCTCTCAAAACTCTTAAAAATTAAAGCCCAATAGAGTTACACTCGATCAATAATGACTTACACTATACTCAAGACTGAACCAATGGCCCGAGCGGCGAGTGCAACAACTTGCGGCATCGCCCCTGAGGTTGGAGGGGCGATTTCTTTTTGAGACCTATGCTTGCAGCGAGTGGTTTATTTCACTATAAAAATAATGGGCTTCAGTCTATAAATGAGAGACTTCACTCTTAAATCTTAAAATTTCGAACGTGGGAACACTTCCGTGTTGGCCGACTGTAGCCCATTATTGTTAGAGTGAAATAAACCACTCACTGCAAGCATAGGTCTCAAGAAGAAATCGCCTCTCCAACCTCAGGGGCGGTGCCGCAAGTTGTTGCACTCGCCGCTCGGGCTATAACCCGAAGGTTAAGGAGGTTTTTATTATTAACAGAACGCCATAAGGTACGATTTATACACATATATTTTGCAGTATAATCGTGATATACTAGGCACTCTATAAAAACTCGGCTAAAATAGCTACTACGAATCGTCTACAATCATAAGTGACAGTATGACAGTTCTATAAGTCGACGTTAAGCGTATTAATAGAAACGTTATTAAGTAGCCATGAATGACGTCTACAAATTGTTGATGTACACGCAACCTGTGATGATTTTTCAGTCATTATAAAGCCTATAACGGCTTTAGTATGTTGAAGCGTTGCAATAAAATCTCGTTTGGATTCTGCTGAAATGATCGATTCACACACAAATTAATTGATTTTTTAGTGTTTAGTATTGTGATTCTGTTGTAATTAAGGTTGCCAGCATTGTATTACTTTATTATTCTCAGGATTTCAATACTCTGCGTGATATGAGAAAAGGCTTGGGATAGATACGATACGACGTTGCATATTGCGATGCGAATTGCTGCGATGCGATTTCGTGCGGCAAAGCTGTTTGGAGCATCATTATGTCTTACCACCAGTGTAAAAGACAAATTGGATTTATTAAATTTCCGCCATAACTGTGAAGACCTAATATTATAGTACATTAGGCAGATGGAACGCACGGAATATGCAAGTGCGGCCACCAAATCAAATACGAAGTCTATACCTAATCAATATTTGCTATTTCTTCTTTCAAATGTTTAATTTTATTATATTGTGTATCAAGAAAATGATCATTAACATGTGGCTCCAATAAATTATTTATACTAATACAAGATATTATTGTAATTAATATGAATGAACAATAATACACAAATTTTCTTAACATTCAAGTACCCACAGAAATAAAATTTATTTCTGTGGCATTACCTATTTGTAAACGTTTGCCCTTTGCGGTATATTGAAATTGCTACCGTAGATTTCGCAGTCAGGGCCATTGACCTCATTGACTTGACCTAACCTCTTACGGGAACCGAGCACGAAACTTTACCATCAGTCACCAATCATTAGAGCCGACCGCCAATGTAAAAACATTATCTGTTTAGTAATAAATCGGTGTCATAAAATAAATGGTTAACCGTAACGACTTCTGACATAGAAACAAATCACAATGCATTTATATACAGCGTGTAAAAAAACCTATGACCAAGACTAAAACTACGCATTCTGTACACCCAAACAAATAATATTACAAAATATTAAACGTGGGAATCATTTATATTTTAAGTTAAAAAAATACATTTATTTTTCCAGTACGCAATGTATAGCGCGGCGCGCTACTGTGGCGCTACGCAAAGAATGTGCCTGTGTGTATGTGCAAGTGCATGGATAAAAAAGTTTCTAAATAACGCTTTGAAAATATTAATGTAAAAATATTGAAGAAAATTGTGACTTTGACCTTCAATATCTCCATAACCATAAATTTCCCAGGTATGTTCCAGAAGAAAAAAATGATCGTCATGATGTGGAAAATATGTGGAAAATACGTGGCCTTCGATTTCGTTAAAGAATTTTTTACACCCTGTAGTTGTTACTCGTTTTACGTACGTATCAAGTTCTGAGGTAACATTTAAACATTCTGACCTCCGAACAATCGGCCTTTATGTGATAACAATCATCTTTGAATTACCTCACAACTGCAGCTTAACGGACAATCTTCCCAATTGGTCACGATTTTCGAGAATCGTAACTTATGAACTTGACACGTGACGCAAATATTCGACTATTATTCTCTATACTCTATGAGCTCTTTACGGTGCTTTTGTATGTACTCATGAACTACTATTTTTGAAGTAAAACTTCTTTAGGCACGCTTGACTTGGGGGTAAACTGGCGAATGTGTGACGATTTTTGCGTTACGCGCGCACCGGTGACTCATCGGTAAACAATGAAAAATACCTGTCATAAAATACATGAATCTAGTGCTTGGTGGGTGATAACAGATCCAGCGCGGATTGGTGGGTGATAACAGACCCAGCGCGGGTTGGTGGGTGATAATGGACCCAGTGCGGATTGGAGGGTGATAACGTACTCAGCGCGGATTGGTGGGTGATAATGGACTCAGTGCGGATTGGATGGTGATAACGGACCAAGCGCGGATTGGTGTTTCTTTTTCTGTCAACAAATCTTCAGATTAAGTTTATGATTTTCAGATCCCCAATGATCTGATTAAAGAAGTTTCACTTCAGTCGTGTGGTCATAAGTACATACGCTTTTTTTAAGTGAAACATTTATTACTTACATCGCCGCTAAGTTTTTCGTTCATCTTTAGAATGTCGCATTACATTTTTAACTCTTATTAAAAAATCAGACCTTATCAAGAAGCATTCCCAATCGAGAACGAAATTTTTAAATTAATATTTTCAAAAGTTTCACTTGCATCATAGTTTCAAAAAAAACACATATTTTTTGTTCTATAAATCTGTTTATATAAAGCGCTTTGTTAAATCTAAATAAACTTGGTCGTAGGTAATCGTTAGTCACTTTGTACTAGTACTTTATTATATTTAGATATAGGTATTCCGACCTTATATACAAAAATATATTATTTCTTAGCTCCTGGTATACACACTTAACTTGTAGGAGTCTTTTCTTAATGTTGACGAATCAGTTTTGTCGTTGTAATAAGGCCTCTTAGGAAAATAATTTGGTTATACGTGCATTAATAATAACAAACAATTATCCCGGATTTCACTGTCTTATATTTTCGAGACAAAAAATAACAAAAACTCGTAAAAAACATAAAGACAAATAAACGGGGTAACTTTCGCATTTACAAGTAATAAAGTATACATATTGTTTCTGAATAACAGCATGCGTAGATACATGTAGTCACAACATTAAAAACAACGATATGAGGAACTGGCGAACAAAGCGGTATAATTACGAAAAATTAAATTTTACAGGAGCCGTAAAACTGAATGACATACCTACAGTGAGCTTTTGGCGTGAATTTTAACACTATTTTAGGCAGTTTTGATTGACATGAGTTGAAATTCAAATTCAGCTGCTCCAAAGCCTACAAAGGCTGTAAAAAAGAAAGTAGTATATGGTCAAAACCATATGCGTAATTATACCTTTTTGTTCGCCAGATCCTCATATAATTTCTTCATATTTTGGTAATTAATTTAATTTGCATAAGAATATGCTTCTTACTTACCTACCAACCTTCGCTTCCTTCGCATTGCGATTGCTTCCTACATAATTTTGCTTATTTATTCCTACAGATATGCAATAGCATATTTGGATTTACAGCAAAAAGGAAAGTCAAGGTACACGAAAGGTACGTGACGAAATTACTTCCTGTCACTAATTCTGTATTAATTTTATTTACATCTTCATTGTCATAATAAATAAAAATTCAACTTCTTGTTAATGTTTATTTTATGGTTCAGTGTAATCATCACCTTAATATAGGTAACTAGTCAAAATACTTTTTAAATAAAAACTAGCAGTTAAATACTTTAATATGACAACCTGTACTTGCACAATTTTAGTTGAATAATATACATCTTTCATTCACGGTCATAGTAGCTTTTAACCAAACTTTATGCCGGTTTAACGGTATTGAAAAGCTTATTCTTTAAATCTTTTAAGATAATTAATCACAGGTAAGACGTGCGGCGTTCAATGATAAATACCTGCCGTTTCCGCGTTGCGACATATTTTGAAAACGAAACGAGTTCTTATCGTCGAGTCGTTGGACGTTATGGCAGATTTACATAGGGTCAGTGACTGACTCCAAATCGATCATTAATGGCGTTTGAAAACTAACGTGCACTGTTAAGGCAGTTGTCCCCTCGCCGACGATTAACAAGAAGCGAGTAGAGCCAGAAATTAGAAACGAGCTGGCCAGCAGCGGGAAGCGAGTGTGTAGTTGGGATAGTTTTATAGCTGGACTAAAAGCGAGTGCGTGAGTGCAACGGACGATTACTCGCGCCACTTCCCACGCGATGACAGGCTTGAGCAAAAATGCACACACACGCGCTTTGACGGCCAATTAAGCGTCGCCGAGTGAGTATCTCTGAGTGAGTATCGCTGAACGAGTTTTTACCTTGATAAACTTTTCGCTCAGCGACAAACTAGTGGAACATGTACTCGCCGGCAGTGTGAACAGTCAGCGATCAACTATTAATATGTATATGCATCTCTTTTGTTAACACGGAACGTTGTACGTTTCTTGAGGAAGAAAATAGCCGATAGTTAGTGGCTTCCTCGTCGGCGGTGGGACAACTGCCATACATGGAGTCAATAGTCGTGAAGACGGCACTATACTGTCTCGAAGTCAATTTACACTTTGCCAGTATTGGTCAGTCAGCACTACTGATTTG